GAAGAGAAAATTCAACTTGGTTTAGACTTTATTCCTGAGGTTACCCATTCTTTCCCGAATAACCCTCTTCCATCTATGCCTGTCAGTCCGAATGATTCTATCTTTTTACGATTCCTCTTTCTTCGTCTAATTTTACTTTGACGCTAGGCGGCAAGACTCTACTTGTCTCCCGTGTAGGTGTTTTCCCTTTTTCTAGGAGGTATCTGGGGCGGGGGTTCGTTGCCTTAGGGGCCGACCCTGTTATCGACTCAGAGTGGACCGCTTTGCGGGGGGGTACTATACCGATTCGGTGGAGACCGCCCGACTTCTGAGATCCGAGTTTTGTACTCGGGCGAGGAGAAGGAGTATCCCAGACCACCTCTTAGGGTAATGAAAAATGCATCTACACGAAAGGAAATTTATTCTTGACGCCCGACTTCTGAGATCCGAGTTTTGTACTCGAGCGAGGAGAAGGAGTATCCCAGACCACCTCTTAGGGTAATGGAAAAGGCATCTACACGGAAGGAAATTTATTCTTGACGCCTTGCGAACAAGGAAAATTGCCTTAGCAATCCTGTTTAAGTGGTCACCCTAGGTACCACTAACGTATGGAGAGTTGGCGCCACAAGCAGCCCCGACTCATGTTTCACTAGCTGAACGGAGTACTTTTAGATACTCCTAACGAGGTTGGTCGTGCCATAAGAAGCACGGGTCAGAAGGAAGACAAATGTTTTAGTGATACTTAGTTTTAACTTAATCTCATTTGTCTTCTTTTTCTTTCAGATGACTATCGGAACCACGGAACTATTCATTTTCAACAATCGTGATGCGGTAGCGGAGAGAGTTGAATTCCAAAGGCGTGATGGAGTGAGGGTAGAAAGGGTAGGCCGACTTATTTATAATCCGTCAGAATTATATTCTAAGGAGGACGTTCCGCGATTTTGGGGTGGTAGTGCGCAAAGACCCCCCAGACGACTTGTTTTCAGGAATGATAATGACCTGAATATTCTTCATTACGAGTTCGCACCGCCATTGTCTGAGCGTCACTTCGTCAATATGAACCTGGTGGTGTTGCAGCCCTATGAAATCAACACACGAGTGGACGAAATCCCTGAAATAAGGTTGATATACGTCCGTTACGTGCTTTGGCTGAACGAGCGACAAGGCCCATTTTTTGGCATATACTACGTGGAGCGGATACGTGCCAATAGGTACGCAATAATAGGGGCTGATGCATTATATGACGATGAATTGGAAAATGAAGCAGAAGAACTCGAGGAGTTTTTACGTAACTAATTTGAATTCGTTCTGATACGCAGATGCCTGGAGCGCGACGAGACTTGACGATCCCGAGGTATCTGCTGGTTCGTGGTACACACGAGGAGGATCTCATCAGGAGTGCGGCACGACTTTTAGGAGTACGGGATGGATCTTCTATCGACTGGCTCGGCTTCATCGGACTGCTTTAAAATGGCGAGGGATTTTTCCCTACTACTCACGCAGATTTCCGAGCCAGCACGGCTCGGATTCCCGACGAGCTTTACGGATATACTTTGTATTTCCACCGTGCGAGTAACGTCTAATGCCTCTCTCGAGTCATTGTGAGTATCAAGATTACTTCGTCCGATAGACGTTTCGGCGTCGTCCGGATCCGGGACACAGAGACTCGACATCTGTTCGGACTTAGTCGACCTCTCTGCGTTATAGTTTGGAGATTAACCTCTCGGATGACCTCCTTCTATAATACTCAGATTGTTAAAGTCATGCGATGTGGACGAAGGTCTACTTTGATTTTCGACGACGACGAGCTGACACGTTTGGATTTATTGGAGACACAGGTGCGCGGCCGGCGAGATATTTACCAGGATTAGACATCGTCTTCTGAAATCTTACTCAGATTTCAGAAAACACTTCGCATGGCCTCAGTTCCGTTGAGGAAACCATATAACTTATGGTTTCACGAGGTAATCTAAAAACAAAAACAAAACACTTTATGTAGTTAGGACCGTCGGATGGATAGTATTCGGATTACCCCGATGATTTCACTATCATGCTTATGCATTGAGGGGTAATCGTCCGCATAAAAATCAGTTCGATGAAGTAAAAAGCGAACGTCTGAAAAAGTTGTCAAGCAAAGCAGTGGAAGATAAAATATTTCTGCGTTGCGTAACTTGGCATTAAAGATGGATATTCCATCATTCGTGAAACAAAAAGAGTAATTATTGTACAGGAGGGCAAAACGACCAACAAGGTTGTTACCCGCTCCTCCAAAATAATTGAAAATGGTACAAAAGCGCGGTCGAACTGGGAGTTCAAACATCGACCAAAAACCAGATCACTTGTTGATCTGCATGATGCCGGTGATATTTATTTACGAAAGCTATTCACGACAAGTTTCAGTATTCATGATAAAGAAATCATTCTTAGTTTATTTCTTTAAATTAATAATCTTGGAACGACAATAAAAAAGTTCTTTCAATCATACAGGTCGAAAAATAGACACTTTGGCAGACCAGCCCATCAAGTCAACGATTTGGATTGTGTGATTTTTTTTTTTTTTTTTTTAAGTATGGGGATTTTTGTTGTTTGATTGCTAGGGACTAAGGATCGTTTTTACGTTTAGTTGAGAATGTCTTAGTTGACCGGCGTACACTTCGTACTTGGGAGATCAGCGCCCCGGGGAACGAATGACGCACGGGTTCATTCGGCGATTAGTCAAACAATTTATATATTGCAGTGAGACGAGCAAACGCCCTCGGATGGTCTACCTCTGCGATTGCACATAAAAGCCTTCGCACGTGGATCAGTAGCTCGGTAGGGATACGCCCCTAAGGGTGGTGACAGCCCCTTAGGGATGCAAGCTTATGCCCCGCAGAAACCTGTCCTGTCGTAGGGGACCGTGGGATGTATAGCTGGCGCGCCCGGCTAGAGCGGCGAAGGAGCGAAGCAACCGCGTCCGCCTCGGCGGTTCACGGAACAGTATGCGTCGTTCCCGAGTTGTCTCTGAGAAAAGTGTTATTAGGTAAACTCCTGCATGACATGGCCGGGAGGGTCCTCGTTTCACGCGAGGGCCGATGCGCTCGACAGCGGGCCTGGCCGCGCCGCACCTCCGAGTTTTGCTAGTGGCGACAAAAAACTTTCTGCAAGGCTGGCGCCGTGTACTAGCGGTTTAAGAAGGGTCCAGAAATCCAAGGGCCTAAAAAACTATTTTTTCTACCTAAAGGACGACCATGCGCTCCCGAAGAAGCCCGACGAAGACCTAGAAACTATTGTCTATACCAGAAGGGCCCCAACAACATCCTTAGTGAGTGCCCGCCCGTCAAACAACCCATTTCTTTGTGGGGATGTGCGGTTGACGAAACTCAACGCCGTTTCTTCACATCTCCACAAACACGACCAGATGCAGGCGTTGAGGAAACTCTACGCTGCTAGTGGGACTTGGCCCCAGCATTAGGACAGAACTGAACTGCAAGTGGTAAAGGGAGTGAGGCAACGAATCTTCGGCAAAGTACCTACTTCTTCTTTTTCTTTTTCTTTTTCTTTTTTAAAAAAATAACAAAACTCCGAGCCGGTTGGCACCCAGCAAGCTAGTACGTACTACCGTCTCTCAAGTTATGTTTTTCGGTAACTTTTTCCCTTTTTTTCCCTCGTTGTAAAAAAAAGGCATCGAGTCGCAGGCGCCGTGGCAAATATGATATTAGCTCCCCCGATATCGAAAAGCGGCCGTACCATGGCGCTGTCCCGGAACTGGATAAGATGACATTAAACCACCAGTACGTTTCTCGGCCATTTTGCAGAAACGCGCCGGAACACCGCCGGTATATTCGGAAGCCAACGGGGAAAGGGCCGCCGGTGATAAATGTCATCGGTGGCCTCGAATTCCCGCCCGCGGCCGATATATGGGAAACGTAGTACTGACGGTTTGAGATCTTATTGATTTTGAGATTAGTCGACGAGAAATTGCATACGAGAATTATAAATTTATAACATTTAAGATCCTCATGTGTGATGCAGTTATCCTCACTTTTTCCCCACTTTTTTGTTCTTGAGGGAGTTTCCCTGTTTTCCCCACTTTTTTTTTCTTGGCCCCCCTTCGCCCCTTTCAACCTCTTGCCCCCTTTTCCCAATTTGCCCCCAGTTGCTCCCCCTTTCCAACCCCTTCTCCTTTCAGTATTCCCTTTTGGACCGTGAGGTACAGCTTTGTTTTTTCTTTTCTGTTTTGCTTTCTTTGGCACAGTTCTCGATGAAATGCAGAATTTGCCGGCTTAAAATTAAAAAACAAAAAGTAAACAGGGAAAAAAAAATAAAAAAGTTGGAGTAGGCGACAAACATATTTCTGCACCACTGGGGCCATGTACTGGAAGTTGAAGCCACAGGTCTTGGCCCAGCTATCGACCGTGGAAAAAAATAGAGTAGAAACGTTTCTAGTCGGATGAATTTGGGCGCTCCTGTAGTGGCCCGTACGTTTCCTAGAATTGTTTCCTGTTAACGGGCACAGCTTTAGGAAGTACTGGTGGTTTAAGCCACCAGTACACAGGGGGCTGTTTCGCCGAACGACGCGCCCCCTGCATGTCGAAGTTTGCCGAAGCGCCAGCACGGCGTTTTTTCTTTTTTGTTTTGGCTGGCGGCGGCAGCCATTTCCGTCCTGTCTGGTGGCCCCGGCCCTCGAAAAGCCCCGAACTTTCTGCTGGTGGGGACGAGCTCATTTTCTGCAAGGCTGGGGCCGTGTACTGGTGGTTGAAGCCGTGGGGTGAAGAGTTCTGGTGGTCCCCCCTCCCCTGTTGCCTTTTCTAGTATCTGCTGTGGCTTGTCCATTGATTCGGATCTGATCACCTATGTATGAGGGAGGTTGGGCCCGGTTTCAGCCACAGGTCGCTTTCCACGAAAGTATCGTAGCCATCTTCGGTTTCCATCACGTGCCGGTTCCCACGAACGGATCGCAGCCATCGTTGGGAGGAATAAAAAGTGAAAAAGACACAAAGTGAGGATGTACAGTTCATATTAGGCGGGTGAAGCGGTACCTGCACAAATTTCCTGCGCTCCACAGCAAGCCTGTGAGTAGTGCGGGGCAAGCTGTGTTCTTAAGCTGCGATCTTGCGGCCATCAAGTTCACCCTCAGGCACAGCGCGCCGGTCACGTACATCGTCATCATTATGACGGTAACGACAAAAGAGCCTATACCGAAAGACACCAAGTACTCGAGAGCAGTGAATTCCTGCAAGAGGCAGACGAGCGCAATGACAACATATTCCATCCATTTGTTTCCAAACAAGCGCGCGCAAATGCATTACATTATGGTAGGGTTGTATCACATTAAATCACATTCTTGCAATACGTTAATAAGTCAGATCACGTTAGATTTTGTGCATACCAAAAGTGGCCTCAGACTGTTTTCTCTGTATAATGGGACACCGGACCCATTTTCCAGCAGGGGTAGGTCCCCACCAAATAGATTGGAGCAACCAGAAAGCCCACTAGTGGGGGGGGGGGCGGTGCTCTTATCACCCCTCCTAGCAGGGAGACTAGTTAAAACAAAAATTAAAAAAAAAGAATAAATAACATGACATGCATGCCATGCATTAAAATGCACAACATACTTACATTAAACTTACCACGTGCATAGACTAGTACATACACACGTATATATATATACATATATACATACGTATACAATACTACACATATATGCATCCCTACCTGTTTTTACGTGCATGCACATGCACATGCACATGTACATGCATACGTACATGCATACGTACATGCACATGTACACGCACACGTACATGCACACGTACACGGGTACCTACATCATGGTGCATGCATATGCACACAACGCCATACGTGCATCGTGCACCATGCAGGCATACACACATGCATACATGCTTGCATGCATACGTAAATGCACACAAAGCGGTCATGACATTCATGTATACATATCGGTAACACACATGCATGCATGCGATGTGGATGCATGCATGTCTATATGAACAGACATGACGTCCAGATGGCAGAAAGAAATGCAGAAATAGTAAACACGGATAAGGTCGAACGCAATGTCATTAAAACACCACTACCTCCGAGCCTCCATCTGCCTTCCCCCTGCGCGCCATGCTTCCTCGAGGTGCCAGCACGACCTTTTTTTCCCCGCTTTTTGCAAGTTTTTGGTCCGCTGGCGCCGAGCCTAGCGGATGTACCCTAGGTCGGATGTACCCTAGCTAGCGCCGAGTCATTAAACTGAATGTTACTTTTTCTTTCGATGCATGTGTGTCATCCTTGTGCAGGGCCCATGCTACTAATCCTCTCTGCATCGTTCCAATTTTAACGGACGTACCCTAGGTCGGATGTTGCATTATAGCTGTATCTGGACTGAAAGTTGTCCCAAGTACAGCTATAATGACCGGGCGCTGTATCTGGATGAAGACGGTAGGTGATGCTCATTGAAAGAGCGCTACTGGCCTCACCCGAACAGAAAGCACGCTCATTACAGCTGTATTTGTCGCAACTATCAGTCCAGATGCAGCGATAATGACCGCGTGTTCCATTGGGAAGGAGATAATAGCTAGTGGTAGGCTCCTGCCTCTATCTACCATCATGCAAAACCATTTCCAAAGGAAAAAAGGATAACTAATAAATGTTGACGTTTTTTTATGTAACAGTTGGTATACGCTGCATCCAGTTCACGACATGGCATGCAACGACTCCCAGGGGCTGCCTTCTTTTTTGTTTTTGTTTTTGTTTCTGTTTCTGTGAAGCTGCCTTCTCCTCATATAGGGGGACAACAGTAGTTTTACTAGTCTGTTTTATTCTCTCAATGTTATCCCAACCTCCCCCCCAGCTACCTGGCCGCCACCACACATGAACCCTGAGTCCAGCTATACCTGTATAGCAATACATAGCATGGGACGACGAGAGTTATGGTAGTGGCTCCCACCGTAATTGCCCTAAGGTACCCCGGCCTACCTATCCCCTTGAGGTTTTAATTGGTCCCCTCAGGGTTGAGTCTGCCCCCTCAGGGTTGAAACTAACCCTTGTAGCGATGGACAGGAGCGTTGAAGGCATGCAGAAGCCCCTACCAAGACCAACAGGGGAGGCAAGCCAACTATCTCAGCTGGTGAACCCAAAGTGCACTGCGGGGCCCTTGGGGAGTCGAATGCATGAAGGGGGAATCGAACCGACGACCTCCTGAATGCCACTTGTGTGCTGACGTAGGCGGCTGGACCGCCTTCTTTTTGTTTTGTTTTGCTTTTTTCTTTTGGGACTTTTGGCTTTTATTGGTCATGTCAGGTTCTGGAATAAGGGTGTCCGCTGAAACAAATATATAACTGAACAATTTAAACAAATAAATAAATGAACACCCAGAAGTGGTCAATCTGGCTTTGATGCATTGCATGATTACGATGAGGAGGACTCGGTTTCACTAGCCGAAAAGAAAAAAAAAAGAGGAAAAGAACTTACAAAAAAGCTAGGCTAACAGACGGGCCGCACGGGTCACCCTGTTTTCCTGGGTGGCCCGGCCGTGGAAGGACGGGAAGTCCCGACAAAAAAAGAAATCCAAGAAAACACTATGTTATGCAGAAATTAAAAAAACACTATCTTATGCAGAAATTTAAAAAACACTATGTTATGCAGAAAATTAAAAAACACTATGTTATGCAGAAAAATAAACTGAACAACTTTCGCCTCATGGTGACATCGAAATTCTCTACCAAATCGATTTATTTATTTATTTATTTATTTATTTATTTATTTATTTATTTATTTATTTATTTATTTATTGGCCTGGCTGGGCAAGTGGTCCCGGGCCACTTTGGTAGCCTAGTAAAAAAGTGAAAAAAAAAATATCTACCAAATTTATTTATTTACATATTTATTTTTTGGCCTGGCTGGGCAAGTGGTCCCGGGCCACTCTGGTAGCCTAGTAAAAAAATGAAAAAACAATTCTCTACCAAATTTATTATCTATTTACTTATTTATTTACTTATTTATTTACTTATTTATTTTTTGGCCTGGCTGGGCAAGTGGTCCCGGGCCACTCTGGTAGCCTAGTAAAAAAGTGAAAAAAATGCAATGATACGTAGGGTACAGAGAGGGGGCAGGGGATCCAGGGGGGCATCGAGGGTAGGGAGAAGCGAACTCACTTCTATGGCAAACTTTAAGGGTATCATCAAGCTTCCATTGAGCATCCCGACGCAGATAGCGCAGCTGAGGCCCCAATAGAACCTTCCATCTTTGTTGTATTTTCTTCCATACAGCCTCGATCCGTCACCCTTCAGAAGCAACAACCTGCTAATTACCATACTCTCCCTCTCCCTCTCCCTCTCCCTCTCCCTCTCCCTGTTTCCCCCGGAGCCCTCTCTGAGGATTCCTTTGCTTGCTCGTTCGTCTCCTCCTGCTACTCGTGGCAGTGATGGTGACGGTGATGTCAATTCTCCTCCTCCTCCTCCTCCTTCACCCCCTCCCCCTCCTCCTTGTCCTCCTCCTCGTCCCTCAGCGCCAACCTCCATCAACTCCTCAATTCCGCCATTGGTGCTCCAATCACTGAAACTTGATCTCAGTTTGCTTTCCCTTGCAGAAGAAGGAGACGGAGAATCAGGAGGAGATGGAGATAGAGATGGGCATGACAACGGCTGGAGGCCTTCTTCCAGCCGCTCGTCGTCCGCTTCCCCTTCTGCATTGGAATCAGCCTTCTTCTTCTTCAAGGCGGCGCCCCTTTTCTTTGAGTCCAGTGCCATCTTTGGCAGGACTGGGTCGAGACATAATGACGTGTTGTCATGCTGCTTACCCTTGTGCTTGGCAGCAGCTAGGGCCAGCAGCGGCCACGGAGGAAACCGACGGAGAAAGGAGGAGCACACCCTCGCTTTTATGTTGGAAGAAGATGCCATAGCCACCTGCCTTGGAGCCATGGAGGCCACGACGCCCACCATGCCAACCGCCATGAGAGTCAGCGCCAAGGCCGACATGCCCACACTCTTCACCGGCTCGTTGAAGACGTAGGAACCCCACACAAAGGCCACAAAAACTGAGACACACAGATCATTTTTTTTCACAGCAGAAAGAAACAAAAACAACGCATCACCATGTAAACAATTAGTACCAAAATGACAAGCCTTTTTCGCCAACTTTCGGCGCCAAGTCAACGTAACATCATCAGAAACATGGCGCTTCTGACGTTAATTGACTTTGATGTTTTCCTTTTTTTGGCTCTCTGAGCCTCTCTCCACACACCGTCATTACAAGTCAATCAACTGCCATTTTCTTCTTCTCCTCCTCCTCCTCCTCCTCCTCCTCCTCCTCCTCCTCCTCCTCCTCGTCCTTCTTCTTCTTCTTCTTCTTCTTCTTCTTCTTCTTCTTCTTCTTCTTCTTCTTCTTCTTCTGCGTATGCGTCTGCTTCTGCTTTTTTGTTGGCTTTTCTTCCCTTCGCTTTCCCTTTTTCTCTTTGGACATCTTCGGAAGTTTTTTTCCCTTCCCAATGTTCCCATATTATCCTTTTTTTGGCTCTCTTCATCTGTTTTGAAAAGGAGAGGGGTTGCCTGCCGTATTGAGTCTGATGCCACCTGCTTAGTAAGAGAGCAGGTCTGCCTCTGAAACCGCCACAAAGCATTGCTAGCAATATGTTCTATGAAGGGTTTAGGGTTTAAGCTGTCATTCCTACTACTTTCTCCATACGTTTCATGCACACACAAACACATGCGTGCGTGCGCACACACACACACACACACACACACACACACACACACACACACACACACACACACACTGCCTCCTTTCATAGTGTGCAAGTGCCCGTCAGAGTGCCTTCCTGGCTCAGCAGGTGCTGCTAACCAGCAGTTTGTGGGGTCCTTGTGGTGTGAGTAGGTATTGGATGGCTTTGCTCTGTGTTGCATGTGTGGACTGCCTGTCTATATGCTCCATGGCTGCCTTGCTGCCCATCCCACTCGCTCCTCATGCCATTCTTTGCAGCTGGTGTGTTGCTGTGTAGTTTGGCTGCGTTGTTGGTGTTGCCTTGTGCTTCGCTGTCGTTGCCTTGCTTTCCATCCGCGTGCCCCGTGTCTTCCTGTGCTCTTTGTGTGACGTGCAGTTTTGTTGCTGCGGCAGCGCTGCTGTGTGCTTTGATGTCCTGTTGCTTTGCTGCCACGCTGCTTGCGGTGTTATTCCATGCAAGTAGCTTTGACGCTTTGGCAGTTGAGATGCCCCAGCAGCGTTCCCCGGTGCTTCGTCCAGTCGTTGCCTGCTGCTATGCTCTGCTTGCAATGGTGCCTGCTGGCAGTCTGCTTTCAACAAGGATCAAAGGGTTCATGGCCTGACCCATCGAGATGGGGATTCCGCAGATTGTCCCCTCCTGATGACTTGGTGCAAGTCTGACGAAACAATCTTTCACCATTAGTTCACATTTTTTTTATGTTTTACTTTCTTCGCTTCGCTGTTTTTCAGTCCTTTTTTTTTTTGAAGTTTTTTTTTTTCCCCCCCCCCCCCCCCCCCCCCCCCAAGCAACAGTCTCCATACCACTACTCGCTCCTACTCCCCTCCCTCCCCAACATCCTCCTTACATTACCCAGTACACCAAGCCTATCCAAAACCCCCCTAACCCATCCATCCCCCAAACCTCAACACCTGCCCTGCCAAGATGACCTTCACCGAATCCTAAACAGACCCCTCTTTAAGTGATACCTAGAATGCATACCTTCCCAGCAACCACATCAGGCTACCATACGGAATCTGCTGCCAAAGTCAGGCTACAGACAAAGAGAAGTATTAAGCTAGGGTTTAGGGTCTTAGCACCAAACACACGATAAGACCAGATTCCCAGTACAACAGGCTACCTTAGGCAGGGGTGAAGGGTGGTACATCCTTCCTTCGGGAACTAATCAATGTCATCCTTCGGACCTCCACACCACAAGGGGGAGGAGCATGAGTGCGTATTCGTATTCATTGTAATCCTTTCCGACTTGCCGGTGGAAAAGAACCGGACTGATGCTCCCCAGAATGGATAAGCAGTTTTTTTTTTTTTGGTTCCATTTGTGTGTGTGTGTGTGTGTGTGTGTGTGTGTGTGTGTGTGTGTATGTGTGTGTGTATGTTTTTTAAGTTTTGAAGTTTTCTTTGTCTTCTGGTGTTTTTCTTTCCTCTGCCTTGTGTGCTTGTGCGTTGTTGTCTGCCTGCCCTCCTGCCTCGGCCATGCCGTCCAGCCTATATTTGCTGCCTCACTGTTTGTGCCTCTCTCCCCGCATGCCCCCAAGTCCAGGTGCCTTGTTGCGGTTAGTCACCTTGATATGGTGTTGGCTCCCTGTCCTTTGCATTCTCCCCATCTTCTGTGTTTGTTTGTGGTGTTTGATTGTGTGTGTTCTGGTCTGTCTGCAAACGGCATTTAGAACATAGATGTTGCTCTTCTGGCTTGACGTAGTCGTCCCCTACCTTCCATTGGATATGTCTATCCCACGACGAGTCCACGAACTGCATTTGAAGACTAGATGCTGCTCGTAGAGTCCGGTTTAGAATTCCCTTCCTTCCACTATTGGATGTGTCTGTCCCACACCTAAAAGTTCCGTCGGCCTTGGAAATGATGTGTGCCCTGCTGCTTTGCTACATCACTTCTGCCCCTGTCTCTTACAAAAGGTTGGCCGACATGGTTTACCGGAGCTCTGCGGGTACGAGTGCTGATATATTGTACCTTCCTATGCCTTAGTGCACACACATCTCTCTCTCTCTCTCTCTCTCTCTCTCTCTCTCTCTCTCTCTCTCTCTCTCTCTCTCTCTCTCTCTCTCTCTCTCTCTCTC